ATTTGCTCATTGTTTTCTTTTTAGATGGCTGAGAACAATCTCAGTAATATTGTTTCTTAACAAGCAAGACTTGTTAAAAGAAAAGGTGCGGGCTGGAAAGTCCAAGATTGAGGACTATTTCCCGGACTTTGCTCGGTATAGAACTCCTCCAGATGGTAAGATAGACAAGAATTTTTTATGCCTTTTTCCCAGAGCAAAAACAGTTATACTGTTAAATTGCAAGCACTTCCCTTTGTTTATCATTGGTCATGTAAACTGTTACCTGCTTGTTTCAATTGAGTAATTTAAATTTACTGCTTTTGTTCATCCCTTTGCATCGTGCCAATCACGCTCTGGTAATCTTTATGTAACCTCTGTCAATACCACCCAATATGGCTTACGCTCCCTAAAATTTGCCTCTCTTTGTTAGCTTTTAATTTTCAGCAATGATATCGGTACAGGACGGGCCCTTACTTATAAGTCACCTGATTATTAGGTGCTTTAGGCATGAAGTAGGCCTCACATTTATGATGCTTTCTTTTGCAGCCACAGCGGAGCCTGGAGACGAGGAATCAGTGACAAGAGCTAAATATTTTATTCGTGATGAATTCCTTTGTAAGTAAAGATTTTCCTTGACGTCTTAGAATTTTCAATCATTCCCGGTTTTTTAGTTTCATGATATACTAAAACATCTGACACTTTTTGGATTATATTCTTATTTATATTCAAGAGTAAGAGACAGCAATGGATGTGCAGCTCAAACTGTAAAGTGGCTTATTCATTTGACGTCATAGCGGTTCATGTGCATTCGTTCCAGCGGGAAATTATGTTCATTCTTTGTCTCTGCCACTTCGTTAAGTTACGCCGAATCGTTGTACGTCATACTTGTCATTTTGGCCGCGCGATAGGGCGGACATTCTTGAAGGCAAAATCGCCAGTTTTGAGGGCAAAAACATAGGTTTTGCAATATAATTAACGAGTTTAAATTTCAAATACATATTTTGCACATATTGTAGAACTAAAAACGACAAAAAGAAAATTCCTGTTGCATACACTTCAATTAAATAATAAATATATGAATATGAACTATTGGAACTGCGCGAAGAAGAAACAAATTGCAAAGGAGATCATCAGTTTATTGGGTAGAGCGCTCTACCGGTATCCCAGATATCAGGAATCGAATCCCGGTAAGATTGAATTTTTGCAGTCTTAATTCCTTCAACTTCATAATTTGCGTCACTGGGGTGACCTTCCTTGCAATTTAATCCTTCATCAGGTCACTCAGGATACACAAGTCACGTGCGGCGCCTAATACGAAAACCCAATCATATTGGGAGAGCGTACCCCCCTCCCCCTCCCCCCATCCCTTACCAATCGCTCAAACCTCTGGGGGATGATGGTAAAATTAAAAGTTGAATGATGAATACATTGCAACTTTCAAAACCTTACCTACGTATCATCATTGCACGCGCTTTAGGATCAGTGGAATAAAAGCAATATCACGTGGTATTTCAGGGGGCAATAAATGATAAAATTTCCTAGTGCGAGTATTTGCGGGAGAGTTTTTTAATGCTCTCAAAACGAGACGACTATTTTAGTTCGAGTTTCGACAAGTTTTACGTCATTATTGTTTGCTGTGAGAACATCTATGTTCGCTTCTGCGTACAGGAAAGAAACAGGCGATTTCTTGCACTAGCAGCTTTTATCACTTGTTTGCTTGTTTGTTTGAAACCACCTGACATTTCTTTTTTAAGCGCATGTCAAGATGGCGGTATCGTTAACAAGGTCTAATGCAGACTCACGTTCGTTCATACCAACAGGAATTTATTTACTTTCTTTATCACTGCCACTGCACCTGAGCGTTCAGTTCCACCGAATGTAAATCCATTAACGGTTGTATTTTTACTTTTTTTCAGCGAATCAGTACAGCCAGTGGAGATGGTAAACATTATTGTTATCCACATTTCACATGCGCAGTAGACACGGAGAATATTCGACGGGTGTTTAACGACTGCCGAGACATTTTCCAGCGAATGCATTTGCGCCAGTATGAACTTCTGTGATGGCTTCCCTCTTCTCCCTCCCCAACTTTTCATCGAACCTTCAGCCCTTTCTCAGGCTGCTTGCGGATATGCGGCACATAACATTCGGCTGTTTTTATTCCAATACGGGACGGGGGAAACCATAGGGCATCCGCCTCACTGTCTACTCCAAACATACCAGCGAGAAATTATGTCAGATACCAGCCCTTGTAAGTAGTGTACAAAATCATGCAGGATGCGTAGCCTTTAGTTTTCTGTGGTTTGTCACAGGACTTTGTGAGTAAGCTGTGATGTACTGGGCCGAGAGACGGAGAAATTTGTTGGGGTGGGGGACGGGGGATTATACGCGTGGTCGTCGTCACATTGCGTTGTTTGGTTCTCTTCTTCTGTGAAATTAAACACTTTATTCTAGAAGTCGAATTTCTTATAAAGAGTTCCGCTGGTAACTCGAGCACTAAAATTTGTTACTTCTTGAGAAAATCAAGTGTGCAGGCAAAGAAAACTTGTTCTAAAGGTATTTTCTATCGGATTTTAGTGGGAGAGATGTTTTGTTTTCTTAAGTACCGAGAACTGAGCTATTTGTAAGATCGGCTTATGGTGCCCAGTCGATAAACTTAAATTTAAAGGTACCCGAAATTACGTAGTTAATTGTTTAAGTGGAGTTCTGGAATGAAAGCAAGAAAGACGGCTTTTGTGTTGTCTTAAAATGAATTCAACGATACGTTCTCACCGAAAACCAAGTAACGACAATTTTTCTTTGTTTGCAAACACTCCATAATATCTCTATAAAATCTGAATATTGTCCTTTTGAAGTGTGAATAAGTACATATAATAATTTAGATTTATATTATGAACATGGAAAGGCTTTTTAACTCACCCTTAGAAGAAGGATACGTTAGTATAGATGGTCTGAATTATAACGTGACTGTTGATGTAATATTTGCCCCCCTCCACTGTCGGACTCCCTGTTCCAAGTTTGGTTGATTGCAAAAACTATTCTGTTGCTTCTGATTGCGAAGGAAGAAGCAAGGGAAGAAACTTAAAACAAAAAGAAGAGTTATAAAGACCTGGGAGTTTTTTTAAAAAGGAAACTGTCTTTATCGCGCTGCTGTACAGTAAACGTGTCCCTGTTTGTTGTTGATGTTTGTGCTCGTGAAAGTGTAAGTAGAGTATGTAGTTAATAATGTAGATTTAAGTAGGCAACAGAGAAACGTTGTCTCTTTTCCCCTTCTAATCATTGTGTTCTCTCCCCCCACCAGACTTGTTTTGTTCAGAAATTAGCTTACAGAGAAGAAAGCACTGCAAACTTAAACATATTGTATATTGACTCGAAAAAAAAGAAGAAAAACGGATCTTAATTTCCGTGGCATGCAAGATTTCGTGCCATGTCCCTTGGAATGTTAGTTTGTTTAGAACGGGTTTCAGTGATGTGTCGAAAAATAATCTCCAGAATATCCTTTCTGCTCTCAACTCCTTGTGGTTGGTTAAAAGATATCGTGTCAATTTCTCTTTCCGCCTTTTGGCAACCTTCCGTCCAGTGTTTTATGATTGGCTAGAGAAGGTTGTACGTCACTTCAGTGAATACCGTTCTAACAATGTATGCATGATCAAGACTGCTGTAGTAAATCATGTGTCTGTTCCAAAATGTGGAAAGCATACTGCCAAATGTACTTTCAGAAGTATGCCCCAAACCCTTCCCCAGTTAGTGATTACAACACTTGATATCAGAGTAACTATGTAGAGCTTTAAGCCGGAGCTGTCATATTAAGTTTTATGTCAAAATAAACTATTACTCAATAGTTCGTGTACAGTCACAAAATGTGTTGTTCTTGTGCCCCTCGTTTCTGGCGATTAAATCGAACGTCACTGAAGAGAACCGTGGAAAAGTAACTAGCTCCTCTTCCCGCTCCTCAGAGAAATCTCGGAACGAGATTGATTTATGTACGCAATTGTATACCATGACGGCACGGTACGGTGAACTAGCTTGGCGTGTTGAGCGCGAGGTATCGTGTCAGCCTCGCCACGTCAACTTGTGTCTTCATATTTGCCTGTAACCTCTGGTTTGTTCTTCAGCATATGCCTGGCTGACCGACGCGCCCATGCCTCTAATGTTGTTTTATGTGTTCTATTGTGTGGTGGAGGCAAAATCCTCCGTTTTGCCTAAGGGTAGTGACACCAAGATTAAGAACTGCTTGAATCTCGGATGGACCTTCACCGCATTTCGCTCCACGGAGCACACACAGGGATCTTAAGCAACAACGACTACGACGACAGTGAAAACATCACTTTTGAAACCGAGCAATTCATCAATTAATGTAGGCGAGTTTTCGTTGAGTTGAATTCTTAACGACTTTATCCCTGTCCAAATAGAGAAAGGACAATTGGGAGGTTTCACGTCGTACTTGCAGTGGACGTCAAATGTACTAAGAAGCGTGATGCACGTGCAGAGCAGTTGTTTTGCTCGTAAAACGAATTGTTTTTTGACGTTGTCGTCGTCGTAGTGGTAGTTGCTTAAGCTCCTTATAACACAAGGTTGACGGAGGCTTGAATGGACAATTTCATGCAAATCACTGTATTTTGTCCACCCAAGCCTCGAGTTGGTGCCCTTGGTCGCGTTTGAATGTCGTTTGAGAGGGTCAAACGTTTGTGAACTAATCACCATATGACTATATTATTTTGTATACAAGAACACATATGCAACAAGACAGCAAGGACGTATGGCTGGTTGTGAATCCTTTGCAATTCAGTCATAGTTTGGCAGTTGTCAATGCCACAGAATGAAATAAAACGTCAAGTACGTGTACTTATGTGATTTTAAAACGCCATTGATAAGCTTTGATATGAAAATTCCTTTTTATTCTCATGCAAATAGGACTCATTGTCACAGAAAGTTTTTGCACTTAGCCTCGTTTTGAAAGTGAAAGATTTTAAAACTCAGAAATAGCCTATTGAAATAGCTGTAGACGAAGAATGTGCAAACGACGGACGTTGTGGGTCCATTCTCACACATGTCCAATATACACAAACGGATACGATTCGTCAAACTGATGGTCCATTGGTACCAATGGTTCGATTGGTACCAATACAAAGTGATGTCATTCCAATGGTTCCGTTGGTGAACATGCATTTTATAAGGGGACTTAGATTATTTTCCCATGTGACCTGGCTGGGTACAGGGCAATTACCAATGGACCATTAAAATTACTCTTTACCCAGCCAGGCCAGATGCATATTCACCAGTAGAAACATTAGAATGACATCATTTTCTATTGGTACCAATCGTACCATTAGTATCAATGGAGACCCTTCTTATCATCACTAACACCAATGGAGTCTATTTGTGAGTACTAGACAACTCTCGCCTTTCTCCTTCGCGGTTGAATTGGCAACAAGTGACGGATGACTTTCGGGCTCCGAAAAGTCACTGAAGCTCATCCGGATTAAACTGCAGATACCATATTAAGTTTTTAGTGCTGGCTATCAACATGTACTGTTTGTAAATATCGTAAGCGAGTTCGAGCGTCTGAGTGAACCTTTGAATGCCGAAATTGAAAAAGCAATTTTTTTAAAATCAATGTTTCTGGGCTCAAAACGCTGCCAACTTGCATCCCACATTTGATTGCAACATAGTCGCAGGTCAGCCTCCTCAGGCGCTTCGTTTTTCGCAAGGTAGAGGCGAGCGACTGGTGATGAACCACAAGGGACCATGGGAAGGGTACAGACGGCGGGCGAAGCGCCGTCTCGCCTGTTGTCTCCTTCCCGCCTTCCTTTGCAGGCACATTTTCAGCGAGAGAGAGACGCCTGGGTTTGAGGCAGGTCCCAGGTCATTTTTATAAGTGACCAAATGACGAGCTCTTAACAGCTAAAATCGAGCACACCACAAGAGCCGTCAGCACTTGCCTCGTCCCTGGGCCATGAGGCACCATATTACTTGAGGTAGGCTTAAAAATTTCTAGATGATCGTTGCACTCGTGTACGATTTTTGAAGTTTATAATAAATTTCTTCGATTTTCTGACGTCTAATTTCCACATTTCACTTCCCAAGTTAGGCTATTTTTTTTTGGTAGAGAAAAGGAAACCTAAAATTTTTGGACTTGAAAATGCAATGGAAAGAGAAATCCTGGAAACCAGAAAATGTCTTAGTTTATTAATACTTGAAATTGCATCTAAAATTTTCGGAAAAATAATACTGAAGCCCTTGTAATTTCGAAAAGACTCAATTTCCCCTGGGATGACCGAACAGATACAAGTTTTAAATCGCCGCTTAGAAGGCATTTCTAAACATCTAATCGTAATCTGGATAGCCTAAATAGTGCTAACAATGTATTTACTAGAAGGAAACCGTCGTTGGGTGCCCCTGCTGGGCGGAGCCTGTGCTTTTCGAGTCACGTGGTACGAGCGAGAAGGCCTGGCGGACAAGGAGGAAACGCCAGCACTATACGACTGCTTGTGAAATGAACTTAAGGTGGCCCGAACCTATTTATATGCGGGTTGGTTATGTTTTTGATTTGCGTTTTTCAGAATGAAAGATTCAACCGATTTCTATGATTTTTGTCATCCTTAATAAATATTAATGAAACTTTAAGAAAATGTTATTTATTTTCTTTTAGGTATAAAAACCTTTGAGATATCGGCATAAATTTAAAACCGCATTTTTACGTAAAATGTAAATAACTTCGAAATTCCACGACAGATTTTTCTCTAACTTCAGCAAATAAGTCTCAGAGGTTTCTAGTTTTACATCTGCAAGTTTGAAGGCAATGGTCAATGGTTTCTTTTCTGGCAAAGGTCCCGCTCACGGCGAGAGAAAAATGCGAGTAATTATGTTAAGTTTCCTTTGACTGGCGGGGTGATGGTGCAGGGTGGATGACAAATTCTCTTTTCCCTTCCCCCCTGCCCACCCACGGGGACTATATTTCCTCGACGACCGACATATGGGTTGATTTTGAACATGTTTAACTTATCGGCAAGGTTCAGAGAGTGACTCGGGTTTGCCGAGAACTTCCTTGAGGTAAATTTTT